TAAATATTTACTTTTTGAAAAAAAGAAGTAAGTTTAGGTGTTATCAGCCGGGGCGACTTGGACCGAACACGCTGTAGATTTTGCCACAGCATTTTTTGTGGTATTCTCCACATACCAAAGCCACGTTAGTTTTTTTGTCGTTTAAATACATTTCCAATTCAAGAGGAAATAAAAGTAGAATTGATGACACTGTCAAATTTAATGCATGACATATCAACAATCACTTTGATTTAAAATTAATAATCTTTGCAAACGCAACAAAATCCAAGTTATCTGTGAGAATGTATTTTAGGTTGCGTCTGAAAATCAGTTAGGGTACCATTCTGTATAGTAGACGACTAGATAACAATCATTTTAAGTATCATGCTGTAGATACTTGGACAAAAACTTATAAAAATATAGCATTATTCTTGTAGTTGATAAATTATTATTAGTTGCGCCTGTATTTATAAACTGAAAGAAAAATGGTGTTTTTTTTGTATACGCTCCCGAAAACAGCTGTTTTAGGGACTCATTTGAGTCTCTAAAATGAGTCTTTTCCGGACTCAATAAAATAATAAGCAAAATGATTATTTTAGGTACTCAGTCGTCAAAAACAGTTTTTCCGGACTAAAAAATTAAATTGGTTACTATGGTGGCGAAATTTTTTTAATTAATAAGAGGTGTGAATTCGTGTTTTGGGAGCTTTAACAAAAAATGTTGTTTGTAACACGTACCTAAAACGTTTTTGCGGACACATCTGCTATTCCAGACTCGGTTTCACCACGTCCGATTCGTCCGAAAAAACTTTAGGTAGGTACTTGTAACAAAGAGGTCCGTGGCAACACTAAAATAGTGCGTCCCTAAAACCATTCAAAACTAAAAAGTTGCAAACTAAAATGGGTCACTCCTAAAATAATTCAATGCTATAATCGTTCATTCTTAAAAACATTCAGCATTATAACAATTCACAATTAAAAACAAATTTTACTAAAATAATTCATTTATAAAAAACTATATTCCAAAACGTTGCAAAGCTAAAAACGGAGATCACTATAACCTTTCATCACTATAATTGGTCATGACTATAACTGGTCAAACTAAAATAATAGTTTAAGCAGCAACTCACAGATGTCGCCGTAATTAGTAGTGTTGTTTGGAATGTGTGCATAATACCGAAATTTCGAAATACCGAATTCCATAATACCGAAATAACAAAATTTGTTTTTATTTGACAAGACAATTTGTTGTAATATAGCAACACTGAGTCTGCCACCGCGAATAAAAGTAGAAACCCCATTTCAAGTCATTTCTATTTTTTTAATCGAAGAAAGTTTCAAAAGGTGTAAACTGGCAATCTAACCACAAAACAGGACATTTTTCTTTAATTCTCTCACTTGATCAGTCGTTTCCTCAAAAACTGAGTGGAAATAGAAACATTTATTCGACGGTTCGTTTAACTGGAGATATAAAGTAGATATACATACTTCGATTATTTAATATAGCGTTGTAATCAGAAAATTAAAAAAATATTTGTTCTTTTCCTGCAATAGTAAGTACTGAATACAATATAGGGCATTTGATTGTTCTTTTGAACAACCGAACAACTACTTAGTAGATCGTTAAAATAAATGTTCAGAGTTACTACAAATTATTTCGTTCTTTTATTATTCAAACAAAGTAATTCTTTCACAATTAGACAATATATGAAACACACATTTCCCGTTGTAACAACGCTTATCCAGCTCAAAGTGTCAAAAAGCTTTGACTACTGTTCATAAGAGTATAATTTATCTGAATTCCTATCACAAAAAGTATACTACAAGTAAACAAAAATTAATTATTAGAACAAAATAAATTAAACAGATAGATTCCTGCCTTATAAAAATATTCTAAACAATAACTTAATTTAAAACTCAAATAAATAGACATTTTTYAATATCATTACAAATACTTAAAAAAATWATAACTATTTATAATACTACAATATATGTACAGTCGAACAAAATGAAAATGACGCCTCAATAAAAAAGCCCCTGCTGGTTGCCCGACCCTTCTAACCGCAAGCAGGCAGGGTCGTAAATTATCGRATTGCAAATTTGACGTAGTTTCAAGATAAATTCCTTTAGGAACCGGTTTACAGAAAGCGAAATGAAAATTTAATTCAGAATTAAACTAATTCGAATTAAGTTGCCATTTATTTTGCATTGACAAACGTCGAGTTAATCGCRAATTAAAATATAATTGCGATTAACACGTTCTGTAAACCGGCCMTAAGTTTTCTATTAGTTTTGTATTTGTTATTGAAAACAAATCAAAATTATTTATTTAATTATACYAAGAAAAAAACGGTAAAATTATTTCAAATATTTTAGTTCTGCTACAAAAYTTATTTTTTGATAATTGTAATACTTTTAAATTAAATAAAAATGTTTACTTTTATAAATACACAATTTACAAGAAAACAAATTATTATTAATGTAATATATTTTTTTGATAAACTGTCAGGATTGCCAACATATTCAGTCATTGTGGATCACTTTGTATTTTAATTGATTTATAAAATAATTTTATTTTGAAAAACAGTTAAAAAAATTATAAAATAATGATTTGTTTTTTCGTCAATGTTTAATTAATGCACAATTTTCTTCAAGAAAAGGTTTGTTAAATTTTTCATTCAAAAAATTACATTTTCATTTAACTTGACCTTTGTCAATGCAAAATAAATGGCAACTTAATTCGAATTAGTTTAATTCTGATTTAAATTTTCATTTCGTTTTCTGTAAACCTGTAAAGGAATTTGTCTTGACACTACGTCAAGTTTGCAAATCCGATAATTTACGACCCTGCGGTTAGAAGGGTCGGCATCCAGCAGAGGCTGGTTGATTGAGGCGTCATTTTCATTTTGTTCGACTGTATATATATACAGGATGTTCCGCCTAAACCCCACTTTGGGAGTTGGAACAATCGTATTTATTTGAAAATTGGTACATAGCCATAAACCATTAAGTCCTCCTAAATGAAAATATTTTCAAGATGGCGGCACTTCCAGTTATACCGGAAGTCGGTCTCAACTTTCTTATTTTAAATGAAAAGCTATATTTTTTACTACGTTTTTGGATCAATCGGGTTATTTTAAGGGAGTTTTTATCAGCTTTCCCTATACCTACATTCTATCTGTCAAAAAATTTTGACATTTATTTTTTGACATTTGACATTTTTCTGTCTATTTAATGATACTGATGATTTTGTATATGTTTTTTTT